AACTTTTCAAAGTTTGCGCTTTTTTTATAAGTTCAAATTATTTAATAAATGATTTAATTTTCTGTGATAAAAATCCTGATCATAGTAAAATGATTAAAATATCTGACATAGGTTTGATTACTTAGTCCGTTTATCACCCTAATTTTTTATGCTTATTTATTTGATGAATTTGTTTATTGGAATTCTTAATAATTTAATCAGCAATGCAGACAATCATATTGCCTATTTGACTTTAAAAAGTGAGGTATTTTTTAATATTTATTTTCAATTAAAATATTTTTTTTAAATTATTTAATTTATTTGTGATATATAGATTATTGAAGAAATTGAGTTACTTTATATGTTACCTCATCAACGAAGAAAAGAAAATTGGTTTCCATTTATCATGTAAATTACTTAATCACACGCAATAACAAAACCTTAATCCTGTTACTTATATATTTTTATGCTTATATTAAAAGTTTCTACGAATGTCACACAGATGAACTTCGTGCACATATAAAGAATATCCAAAATGGTAATTGGTCAGAGTTTACGGAGCCCTTTTTTTCAAAGAACCTTAAAGAAGTTCTTTCACTTCACGATGAACAGTCTTCTCATGAACAAATTGAGGGAATAATTGAGGGGAAATTTAAAGCTTTACCAAAAGAAATTGAGGGGATGATTGAGGGGAGATTTAAAGCTCTACCAATAAAAATTGAAAAGATTATTAAAGATATGCCTATTCTTAAGGATCTAAAAAAATCAATTGAAGATCTGAAAACAATAGATAATGGTTCTGATCAGAATAGAATAGATAGTTAATTGATTGATAAAATTTAGCATTACACGATTTAATATGTGAAATGTAATTTTAACTTAAAAGTGTGAATGACATGCGTCATTTTTCAATTTATGTAATTATTATTGATCAATTAACTGTACATGTGTAAAATGGGCGCTTTTTTAAGATTATGAGTTGACCAGCATTGAACATTATGAATTAGATCTTTTATACTGTATTTTCGCGTAATAACGCTTATCTGCGTGTCATTATGAGTATATGCGTGTTATTTCGAGTACTGCGTGAGTTATTTGGATACTATTGAAAAATTTAAGTAATTCTTGTATAAAAAATAAACAAAAATACTAGATTTAGTACTAAGTAAACCTTCCTTCGAGCTTTAACAAAGTTGTTCTGAAAAACAACATTTGTTGAAGTTCGAAGATTTGCTTAATGGTTCAAAGTATTTTTTTAGTCTTACTATTAATAAGCATACCTTACTATGGGTGCGCGCTATTTTGGGGACACGCACGAGCGTTATGAAACTATATATATTATTTTTAGGGAGCACGATTTTCGAAATAACGCTCATGAGTAGGCTACAAATGACTACGACCACTATAAGCAAATTGCTAAATTTTGAAATGATTTTTTTTTTTTATAAGTCATTAATTAAAGTTGTTAGAAGTAAATTTTAGCCATAATTACTTGTAAGACAAATTCAAAATATTTTCTTTAAAATTCAAGATCTTAAAATTCAACATCGGTTATGGAACGGCTTGTCTGGCCGCGTAACCGATGATGAATTTTTAAGAATTTGAATTTTTATAAGTAACTATGACTAAATTTACTTCTGAATAACTTTAATTAATGACTTATAAATAAAAAATCATTTTAAAACTTAGAAATCTGCTTATAGTCGATCGTAGTCATTTGTAGCTGAAACTGTTGCATCTAAAGTAGCAAAGTAGCTACTTTAGATATATAAAGTAGCGCCTGACTAAAATTAGGCCCTTGAAATTAGATCTTCATGCATGCACTAAATCGTAATTCTAGCCCAGGGCTACTTTAGATAGGGTGGCTACTTTAGATGCAACAAAACCATCCCTACTCATGAGCATTATTACGAAAATACGGTATATTATTAAATGACATTCTTAAATATTATGAATTTAAATATTATGAGCTAAGACATTCTTAAATATAATAGACTAGAAGTTCTTGAATACTCAAATTTACTCAGCATCTGTTTACATTAAAAGGCCAGATTATACTAATAATGACTTTACCCTTCAAGTTCTGTTTTATCATCCTTTTTGATAAGTCTGGAGATTATTGCAGATGAAGGTAAATGACAATAAAGGAATTATGTATTTGAATTCGCTCTTTTGCCTAATGATTTGCATTAATTTTAAATATTATATCAATATCAATAAAAATGCACTTGAAATATTTCAAATGTTCGTGTCAATTATTTTTTAAACAAAAGTAAAAATCGCAGCCCAGAATATAGTAAAAGTACAAGCTTGTCTAGCAAAATTTTATTTCTTGAGAATAAAATACCGAACAAAAATTTTTCATAAAAATTTTCTTGGTTTTATCAGAAGCACTTTATTTTCGTTAATGTTTTAGATTATTTCGATTTTTTTTTTTTTTACTAGAGAAAGTACTTCATTTCGCGATTACCTTGTACATATAACTTCATGGTTTGTAATTTCACTTGATAATTATTTCATTTTCATTAATATTGAGAATCGTGATAAGGTGCAAAGTGGAAAAGTAAAAAAAGAACCGACTTTCGCGGGCAGACTTTAATATATAACAATAACATGTACATTACGTACGTACTGTACGTATATAATTTTTCTAAAATAAATAAATAAATAAAAATATATACGTAATTAAACATTAAAAAAACACGTATTAACAAGATTAAACCAAAATTAATCAAAGGACCTGCATGACACCTGAATTACACAAAACTTAACAATACAGCCGACTATAATTACCAAATTAAAAAGGTTCCGTATTCTCACTCTCTTAAACGCTTACACGCGATCATTAAAATAAATAACCGCTCTAGGAACAACCTTTTAATGTTGTCGATTTAGAATAGAAAATCGGCAATAGGAATAAGAAGTCTCTCCTAAGACCACAGCACAGTCAAATAAAAATCTAACCACTACCGATCGGCTAATACCCTTTAAATTTTCGGGTACAAACAAAATTAGCCCACTTGTTTTATAAAATACTTGAAAATCATTAAGATGAAAAAACATAAAATCAAACTTACTTAGAACTTTAACAAAAAATCAAACATAGTTATTTGAAACAGTTCTGACGAACAAATACCAATTCGAAAAAAATTAATAAATGCAATATTTATAGAATTTTGTTATAAATTATGTAAAATTATATTCGATTAATTATTTAATTTCGTTAATAAAAATTTGATCATAATAAAATGTCCGTGTAACAACCAATAGAACAACATAGCCAAACATCTACTAACAAATTATGGCTTAGCTTGAATTTTTAAAATTTCCAATACGAATAAACATCTTTGCCTAAAAATTTTTTTATCGAAATTTATTTTGCTACTCGTTATAAATAATATTTTAAAAAACTTTATTCTCCCAATTAAAAATTCAAATTATTTTAAGATAGTTGAAATGTCATATAGTTCTCATGTGGAAATTCCAATCGAGAAGGTTCCAGATAAAAATAAGAAATTTTTGGAAATTGTCTGCTCGCCTAACTTGAAACATGTTGCTGCATTGGATGAAGATAGCAATATTAGTCTTTGGTCTACTGTTAGTCAATTATTAACGAAAGTAAAGACATTCCACATTGGAAGGATTTGTATTAAAGAAAATGGTGAAAAAATATTTGCCGTTTCAGATAATAAATATGTTTCAATTAGCCACGAGAGAGTCAATCCTTATAATTTCAGTAAGTTATGCATACAATAAATTTATTACTATTTTATTAATACGTAAAATTTAATTAACTTATTGTATTCATACGCCTGTATCAAGAAATATTCGATTTTGAAAATGAACAAGAAGTATTGTTAACTTTTCCAGATTGGCAAAAGAAAATTGACTTCTTTTCTTTTATCAATAATGGAAATATCGTAATGGTCAATGCTAAATATTGTAGAGCATATGTTTTTTCAAGTAAAGGAAAAGATAATATTAGTTGGGGTTGTAAATCAATGATAGAGCTAAAATATTTTAAGCAAATATATATTACTCCTAAAGGAAAATTGATCATATTTAATGATACAATTTATGAGATCACGGTGTGGGACATTGAAGGATTATTTATTAAAACTTATGTGTTAATAGATTGGAATTATACACCTGTGAATATTGAAATAAGTGAAGAAGAAGAATTATTATTAGTATGTGCAAAAAATAAGGAAACTAAAGAGACAGGTTTATACACTTTTTCCACCGAAACTGGAATGAACCTGGCATTTTGTAAGTTTCTGTATTAAAAAGATAACTAAACGTGCGTATAAATTTTTTTTTATGTTAATTTCTTATCTTTTATTTTTAGTTTCTACAAAGAAGGCAATAGATAGAATTCATTTGATTGCTTCCCAAAAGGGAGAAAGATTACTATTTGTCAACATTTCAGAAAAGCGATATAATATAGTGGACCCTTATTACCTCAAAAATCCAATAGATGCGGACAAACTTTTTAAACGCATACAAATTCAAGAACTTCAAGAACCATACGTAATTCAATCAGATAAAATAATTTTTACGATTAATGGAAAAGTGTTAATCGAAAATTTGATCGATGATGATTGGATCAATTACTTACGAAAAGAACTGAAAGACACGAATAGCATTACAACTCCGTCTAAAACGACAACTGATATTATTACTAAAATTATAAAGCACAGAAGTTATTACCCTAAAAGAACAAAATTTGAAGGGAAATTTTTAAAATGGGAATTGGAATTAAACGATAAATTAGTTAAGATTACAGCAAGTCATTTAAATGGTTCGATGAAAAAGCAACTGAACATTCTTCCATCGTTTTATACTAATAGAGTTGACGGAAAAAATTTTATAGTTAATTGTGAAGTTCTCGAAAATGATGATTTCATTACAATTACACGTATTGGTGTAATTATCTGGACTTATGAACTTTCTGACATTAAAATGCATTATTATTGGAATGATTGTAATGATCGTTTAGAGGATTTCGTTTTTGAAAAGTTGAATATTAAAATTCTCTCTGAGAACTGGACTTCAGGACGAATTCTTCCTGCTTCAAGTTATGAAACAATCTATATAAATTCAGATATAAAATTTTGGCAAGAAGAAAAAAATGAGGAAAAAGAGCTTTTCAAAGAGTTCTTGGGAAATAATGTCGATCAAGAATTTTATTTAACTTGCTACGGAAAGTATCTCATGGAAACATTTATTAATTTATCGGCTGATTATTGGATTCGATTTTTAGGTGGCAAATGTATAGATAAGTGCATACAGAATAATAATCATTTGATTTCAAAGTTTTCTCTGCTGAGTATTATTTTTGAAAACTTTGCTAAATTATCAGAAAGTCATCCTACATTAATAGCAAGTAGTTTATCCAAGATAGGATTTGTAGTTCCTTCTGATGCTATAAATCAGAAATCTATTTCTTCACACCTTTCCAGTTATGGAAAATACTATTATTTATCTAAAACCTCATATCTTGATATATTAACTTCCATGTTCTGGGATCGTTGTATTGTTTTTCAAAATTGTTTTCAAGTTTGGTTTCCTAATTTTCGAAATTTATTTGCAATACCAATTATCAATTATATAAATTATTATGGAGGTCATAATTCGACAATACTTGCAATTCCTTTACCAAACTTTGTTTCCTATCCAAAAGATTATAATCCTTGGCTAGAATTTTTGTTGCCTAGTCCCAATCCTTTTACATATTCTAATAAGCTCGAAGTAATAAGTGAAGAATTTTATAGATATATAAATGGAGAAGCACTACTTAAATTTAAATGGAACACTTATGGAAGATATTATTATTTAGCAATTTGGGCAATTTATACATTTTATTTTTTAAGTTTTGTAATTTCTGCAACATATTACAAAAATATTTCTCAGGATACTCTATTTATTCTCCTAAATATAACTATTTGTCTGGGGATTTGGCATTTATTTTTGGAATTACGCCATTGTATTTTCGCACCGCTAACCTATATATCTAGCTCTTGGAATCTTTTGGGTAAGTTTCTATTCTTTATTGAAATATCTATAAAATATGCATATGATCAATTTATTATTAATAGATCTTGCTGCTATGATTTTTACTACTGCAACTTCGATTTATTGGCTAAAAAATGGTTCTCCTCCAACATGGGCTATCACCTTTTCAACTTTATTTCTTGAAATAAAATTTATTATTTCCTTTTGTTTTAGTAAATTTCTTGGAATTTATCTTGCTATGATTATGAAAACTGTAGACAAAGTAATATCTTTTTTAATAATATTTGGACTTTTTACACTTGCATTTGCACACTCGTTTCACTTCTTGATAAGATCAGAGTCAGGTATTCGAACATTAAATTGGTTTTCATTAGTCTTATAAATATTGCATCAATAGTAATTTAAGTACTCCTGTTTTTTCTTATATATATTTCAATATAAATATGTTTACACAATTTGGTTCTGCAATTATTGTGTCTTATTATATGATAATTATAGGTATATAATAGTCATCAATATTTGTCATTATAATCTTATTTAAATATTAATATTATTTATTACATTTTTATTAGGCGATTCAACTCCTATTTCATCATGGATTTCAAATGAAAATTTTACAATAATACTTTTAATGATTATAGTTTCATTTTTTGTGCTTATTTATTTGATAAATTTATTTATTGGAATTCTTAGTAATTTAATCAGCAATGCAGACAATCATATTGCTTATTTGACTTTAAAAAGCAAGGTATTTTTTAATATTTATTTCAATTAAAGTATTTTTTTTATTCATTAGATTATTTATGCTATATAGATTATTGAAGAAATTGAGTTGCTTTATATGTTACCCCATCAACGAAGGAAAGAAAATTGGTTTCCATTTATTATGTAAATTACTTAATCACATGCAAAAACAAAACCTTAATCCTGTTACTTATATATTTTTATGTTTATATTAAAAGTTTCTACGAATGTCGCACAGATGAACTTCGTACACAAATTATGGATATCCAAAATGGTAAATGGTTAGGGTTTAAGAAGCCCTTTTTTTCAAGGAACCTTAAAAAAGTTCTTTCACTTCACGATGAACAGCCTTCTCATGAACAAATTGAGGAAGCAATTAAAAACCTGTCTATACTTAAACAAGAATCGATTAAAGATATGAAAAAAATAAATAATATCTTTGATTGAAAGTCGAATAAAAATTAGCTACAGTAATTTCATTATTTTAGTATGTAATTATATTTAAATACGAAACAAATAAATAATAATATTTTAATATATTATTGGTTAATGTTCTTAAATATTATGGATTGAATGTTTTTAAATCTTATGTGTTGAGATATTCTTATTGCTCTTTTCGATTTAGTTGGATTGATGACTAAATACAACATAGATAACCATAAAATTTATTTATCGGCAAAATGATCAATTAATTAAATGAGTTCCACAAAATATAAAGAGATTTTCGAAAGATCGATAAATACATTGGGCTAAAAAATATCAAACATTTGAAGTATTCTGTATTTGCACTCATAGACAGAAGTTCGTCTGATTGGCTAACATATTGTTGGTGGCAAAACCGACGAAACTCGCTGCGCCGAATTCGACGTCACGGGACCCGAAAACGTGACGAAAACCCCGA